TCTGCCAGGGCTTCAAGTAAGTATAGGGTGTCTGTTTTACATGCTAGCTTGGTTTGAGATGCCAGCAATAAATCATCAACATATTGGATCAAAGTGGACTGCTGTGGTAGGGAAATGGAGGAGAGGTCTGCCCTTAATATTTGTGAGAATAGGGTGGGGGACTCAGTGTAGCCTTGTGGCAATCGAGTCCAAGTGTACTGTTGGTCTTGCCAGGTAAAGGCAAATAGATATCGGGATGCTGGGTCCACCGGAATGCTAAAAAAAGCAGAGCACAAATCTATGACGGAAAAATAGGTGGCTGAGGCTGGCACCTCGGTGATTATAGTTGATGGGTTAGGTACTATGGGGGCTCTTGGTATCACGTGATCATTTATGAGCCTTAAATCGTGCACAAATCTAAAGATGGGGTTTCCATCTTTGTCTACTGTAGATTTCTTCACCGGAAAAATGGGGGTGTTGCAGGGAGAGGTACATTTAATGAGAACTCCTTGCTTTAGGTATGCTTGTATTAATTTATGGGGAGAATTGCCTCTGCAGGGATTTTGTATTGGGGCACGCATGGAGGTGGTCCATGTTTCACTTGGATAGTAACAGGTGTTGCTCCTTTAAGTAGTCCCACTTCTGATGCATCCCAGCCCCATAAGGAGGGTGGCAGGCTTTTTAAATCTTCATGAAGCCCCGTGTTGCTGGTTATCAGCATGATTGTCTTGTGCGTGCCTTTTCCCGGGATTTCCAATTGCAGCCCCTGTTTGCCACATGATATGGTAGCTCCCATTTTACATAGGAGATCCCTTCCTAGTAGGGATAGTGGCGACTGGGGGCAAATAGTGAATGCATGGTCTACTGTGAAAGGTCCTAGTTCTACTGGTACGTTGTGGGTAAATTTTACAGGGATTATTCCCCCCCCCTCCCATTATGCTATCCCGAGCCCCTTCAGCCACTGAAGCTTTATATGGTGGTTCAGTAATTAATGAGGAGGTGGCTCCAGTATCAACTAAGCAATTGTATTTCTTTCCTCCTGTTAGAATGGTGACAATGGGTTCCCCTTCAGGGCCGTTTTTTAGGGGGATAGCCAGCCCGTTAAAGGTAGCCATGAATTCAGTGCTTTCATTTTCATGTTCTAGTCAGGAAAGGGGTAGGTCATGTTCTCTTCTTTGCTCCCATTGATGTCTATTGTTATGATTTATTGGAGGAAAAGGAGTGCTGGGTGGTGCCTGATGATTAAAGCTTTGTTGTTCAGTGTAATGGACTGGATTATTGCCTGGCCTCATGTTTCTAGGTGGTGGGTGATACCGGTTGCGGGAAGGGTGTTGCCTACATTGTCTGCTAAAATGACATTTCTGTCCTCACCTATAGCAATGCTGGCATTTGCCTTGCGACCATCCTGCTTTATCGCAATGCCAGCATTTCCTTGAATTATAGGGGGTTTTACCTGGCGTTTGTCTGGCATTAGGTTGCATTACAGCAAACATTTTTAAGCCTTCCTATCTTTCAGTCCGCCTCTTTCTATCTTTCTCCTCCTCTTTCAGCTTGTCTCTTTGATCATAGACAAAGTTAGCAATCCTGCGCAACTCTGCTATTTCTAAGATTGGCCAGTTAGAGACGAAGCGGTAGAAATGTTCTTTGATATCCACGGTGGACTGGTCCACGAAGGCTGAAGCTAAAATCCTTTGGTCCTTCAGGCAGCTAAGGTCTAGGTGGGCATATGCAATAGCTGCTTCTGACAGGCGGACCCAAAAGGCATCAGGGTTTTCATTTTCTCTTTGTGTTGTTTTTTGAAATTCGGACCAGTTTAAAGGCTTTTTACCTATTTCCTCTAAAGCTCCTAGTAAGTTATCTTTTGCTCTTGTGTATTCATCCCAGTGATTGGTATCATTATAGTCCCAGTCAGGGCGATGTACTGGCCATGCGATGTGGGCTGGGGCTGTCTGTCCAGGGATAGTTGGTAGTTTAGCTATTAGGTCTGTTTTTTCAAACAGTTTTAATAGTTCATCTTTCGTTAGAAAGACTTGTAGCAGCTGGGTCATATCACCCCAGGATGGATTATGGCTGTCTATGATAGATTTCAGGGTTTGAATTACTGTTTGAGGATCAGCCCTGAAAGCTGGGGTATCCTTTTTCCAGATGACCAAGTCAGAGGCAGAGAAGGGAGTGTGGGTAAAAACATATTCTAGTTGTCCCCTATTTCTGCCTGGTACTGGTTTGCTTAAAAGGGGAGCCATAATCCGTGCCTCAGTCTTTCCTTCCAGGGAGTGGGTTTCAGGTTTTTCCTAATCTTTTCCCTGGGTCAGGTCTTTGGTCCTAGCCATTTTAGCCCAGCAGTACCAATAGGGTATTTGGCTAAGTTTAATGCGTGTTCTAAGTGCTTTCAGGGTTTTATAATCTAAAGTACTGCTATCAGGTCAAATTTGTCTACCCGTGTCATCTCGCAATAAAGACCACTTTTTGCAAATTCTTTTCGCTTCTTTTTTATTCATTCCAGTCAGGACAGGCACTTGCCTTTCGTCCCAAGCCTCAAGTAATTTATCCAAGGGGGTCTCTTCCATTGCCCTCGAGCTACAACTTCCCATATTCCCTACCTGAT